AGGAGATCTGGCTGCGCCGCCCACCTGGCTTCACTGGGTCGTTTCCTCCTGGTACCCAGTGGAGCCTCCGGCGGCCAGTCTACGGTCTCCGCCGGGCGCCCCGTGAGTGGCACGACACACTGAGGACTACACTTGCGGCTCTTGGGTTTGCTCCTTCTACAGCCGACCCGTCGCTGTTTCTGCGCACCGACACCTCTTTGCCGCCGTTCTACATCCTCGTGTACGTCGACGACTTGGTCTTTGCCACTGCTGACACTGCTGGACTCGCCCACGTGAAGTCCGAGCTGCAGAAGAGACACACGTGCACAGACCTGGGTGAACTGCGCAGCTACCTTGGCTTGCAGATCACCCGGGACAGAGCACAGCGCACCATTACCCTGACTCAGTCACACATGGTGCAGCAGGTCCTTCAGCGCTTCGACTTCACGTACTCCTCGCCTCAGGCCACTCCTCTGTCTACTCGCCACTCGCTCTCAGCTCTGCCTTCGGATGAGTCCGTAGAGCCGAGTGGCCCGTACCCAGAGCTTGTTGGCTGCCTCATGTACCTGATGACGTGCACACGACCTGACCTTGCATACCCTCTTAGCATCTTGGCACGCTATGTTGCTCCTGGGAGACACCGACCAGAGCACATGGCTGCAGCGAAGAGGGTGTTGCGCTACTTGTGCAGTACGTCGGGCATGGGGCTAGTGCTTGGAGGGCGATGTCCAGTGGTCCTCACAGGTCACGCAGACGCTTCTTGGGCTGACGACCAGGCTACGCAGCGGTCGTCACAGGGTTACACCTTCAGCCTTGGCTCCGGCTCTGTTTCGTGGCGGTCTACCCGCTCGTCTTCTGTTCTCGGCTCCAGCTGTGAGGCTGAGATCTACGCGGGGGCCATGGCTGCACAGGAGCTACGCTGGCTCACCTACCTGCTGACTGACCTAGGAGAGCCGCCTCGTTCTCCTCCAGTTCTGTACGTAGACAACAAGGCCATGCTGGCCTTGTGTCGGGAGCACAGACTGGAGCACAGAACGAAGCACATTGCTCTTCGCTACTTCCTTGCTCGTGAGCTGCAGCAGCGTGGTCAGCTGCACCTTGCTTACGTGGCCTCTGAGGCCAACACTGCTGATATCTTTACCAAGGCACTTCCGCCTTGTGATCATCAGCGCTTCTGTACGATGCTAGGTCTTGTGCCTACTTGGCCTCACTTGCTCACTTCTTGACCTTGCTTGTACTGTGATCTTTCTATACCTGCACTTGCTTGTTTACCTTTATATATGATCTTGCATGTGAACTGGCCTTCTGGCCTTGCTCTTGTGCTCGGATTGTGTGGTGACGTTGTGATCCACCCTGAGCTTGCTTTGCTTTGCTTGACTGGTCTTGTGACCTCTTGTTCTCCCCCACTTTGCCTATGGGGGTGTGTCAAACTCATATTATATAGCTTGTCTAGGCTATAGTGGGGTAGACACTATGGGGTACAGTTTCCTAGGGTTTCCTACTTGTACCCAACCTTGTGCTAGTTCATTCATTCCTCATTTCTTCACATGGATCGGCGATGTGAAGCACGGGCGGTGAGCACAAAATATTTTTGAGGGCCGAGAAGGCAGCTTGCTCTTTCTCCCCCCACGTGTACTCAACCCCCGTCCTCAGCAGGTCGGTCAACAGGGCAGTCAGCTTCGCCATGTCGGGGACGAACCGGCGCACGTAGTTGACGAACCCCAAAAAACTCTGCAACTCGGTCAAGTTGGTCGGCGCGTGCCATGCTTGAATCGTCGCAATTTTTTTCGGGTCTATTTCCACTACTGCAGCTGAAATAACGTGTCCCAAAAACTCCAGGCGGTACTGTAAAAACTCACACTTTGACGCTTTTGTCAGTAGGCGGTTCTCACTCAGTATTTTAAAAACTGCTTCGATGTCCTGTAAGTGCTGTGCTCTGTCAGGGCTGTTAAATCAGTATGTCGTCCAGGTATACTATGACGCACTTATCTAAGAGCGGGCCGAAAGCTTCGTTCATGGTCATTTGAAAAGTGGCGGGGGCGTTGGTCAGTCCGAAGGGCATGACGGTGTATTCGAAAGATCCGTAACGTGTGCGAAATGCGGTCTTAGGGCAGTCGGGCGGGTTGACGCGAATCTGGTGGTAACCTCCTCGGAGATCGATTTTCGAGAAAACCCGGGCTGTGCGCAGTTGGTCGATCAGTTCGTCAGCTCGCGGGATGGGGTAACGGGATTTGATGGTAACCCTGTTCAGTGCTCTGTAGTCTATGCACATGCGAAATCATTCGGTGTGAACAGTATCGGTGCTGCGAAAGGCGACGAACTAGGGCGAATGAACTCCTTCTCGAGCAGGTAATCGAGCTGCTTCCTCAGTTCGTCCAGTTCGGGCTGGGTCAGTCGGAACTGTCGCTGTACTGTTGGCTGTGCCCCCGGTTCTAACTTTATCCTGTGGTCGTGCGGTCGCTGAGGTGGCAGTCCCGTCGGTAAATCGTCCAGGAAAATGTCGCTGTACTGCTTCAACAGTGCTGCCAGGTCACTCGGTACGTCGGCCAGCAGTTTCTGTAAATCCCCTCCTTTGTCTGCTGCCTCGGCTTCCCGAATGTCGACTGCGTACACGTCAGCTCCTGCCGCTACGGCGCGTTTCATCGTGATCGCGTTGACACGCACTGACGAAGACTCAGGCGAGCCCCAGCGAGGTAGGGCGATCTTGTTACCGTTCACTCGCACGGTGCAGTCACCTGTCGTCCAGTCGATTCGCGGATTGTGTCGTCGCAGCCAATCACGCCCGAGTAAAATATCGGTTTCGTCGAGGGTCGTTGCGAGCATTTCCTGGCTAAACGTGAAGTTAACCCCACATCGAATCCGAACCCGGTCTACGCGTTCCCGTATTGCCAGCGGCGTGCCGTCTACCAGTCTTGCGTCGATCTCAGGTAAACATCTGTCCAGTGGCAGTCGCAGTTTTCGTGCTGTAGCAGTGTTGATGAGGCTGTGGCTAGCTCCCCCGTCTACGAAGATTTTAACTAAGTCCGTCCCGATTTTCCCAATAAGCAGTATGGGGCTGTCTACCGTAGTCTCCTCCTTATTCGGCCGAGTGTGGTCGATTGCATGAACCGGCACAATCACTCGGTGAGGGTTGGTTGGGTCGGGCGAGCGGCGTGACCTGTCAGTAGAGGGCCCGTCTGCTACTGACTCCCAGCGTTTCCCTGCTGCTTGGTCTGTTTCTGCTGCTCAGCTTCCCCCTTTCCCTTAGCGTTTTCCGGGCATTCGCTCTTGCGATGTCCCGGCCGATTGCACGCAAAGCAGCGCCCTTTGAACGGTGCGGCAGCGGCATTTGCGGCGACGGCACGTATCGTGCCGCCCTCGTTCGTCCCACGAGGCCGATGTCCCCAATGGCTGCTTCCGTAGGACCCCGGTCTCGGTCGGCGGAAGAAATCAAGTTTCTCCGCCATAGCGAGAATTTCTTGAAAATCGGTGACGCCACGAAGCTGGATTTCCTGAGCGATGTCCTGCTTCAGGCCGCCGATGTAGCGGTCGATGCGCTCGCTCTCGTGCATATATCCCACCTGCTCGCATAGCGCCAGAAATCGGTGTAATCTTGGACGGAACCGAGTTGGCGCCAAGTGCGGAGCTTCTGTCGCGCCGCGATCGAAGCCGCGATTGGCTCGAAACGAGCGCGCAGACCTGCGCACCACGCGTCCCACGTGCAATACTAGGGCACCTCCACGAAATACGACGGCGCCCAGGGTCCGGTTTGTCCTTCCCGTGTCGGTAGAGTCGCGTAGTCCACCGGCTTCGTGACGATGACGCGCCACCAGTCCATGGCGGGTCCTTGCAGCAACGACACGGCGTAGCGAATCTTTGCCGTATCCTCCAAGACGTAGTTCGCGTCGAAGAAAACGTTCAACGTGAAGAGCCACGCCTGGACGGTAGGACCACCCCGCTGACTTGGGTCAAATCATGGCGGACGCTGCGGCTTTAGCGGCATCGGCGACGGAAGAGTTGATTCGCCGGCCGGCACTGAAATCGTGACTCGAGGCTGAGTCCTGGCCGCATTCGTCGCGTCGGGGTGTGTCGTGCCGTGGTCGTCGTCTCCGTCATGGCGGACGACGCCATCACTTGCGGCGCTCGCGGGTTGCCCCACACTTCCGTGCTGTGATGTCTGTGGTGCGGGCTGAATCGGAGTGCCAGGTGCTTGGGATTGTGCCCGTGTGAGGTCGTTTTGCAGGGACGAGCGTTCTGCCGTCAGCGCCGCGATTTCCTCGGCGCTCTCGCGGATTTGTCGCAGCAGATCGTTCAAGTGCTCCTGCGTGAGAGTCGTGACGTCGATATGTTCAGCCATTTCGAAGGGCGTCGGCTCGTCTTAGTCTAGGCGCAGTCGTGGCTGCACGCGTTTACGAGAGAACGCGAGGACAACGGCTCCTAGGTGCTAAGGTACGTGAGTCCCTTCGAGTGAAAAAACAAAAGTGGATTTCCTGGGGTGCGGAGATGCGCGGCCCGAAAAGAAAGAGGCTCTGAATACCAAGTGTTACGGGTGCAATGGATCGAAGTAGCGAGAATTGCACTAAGGTGTCAAACGAGTACAAAATGTGAGCGAAGGCATGAGCGAACATTTATACCCGAAACATGCAAACGGTAACGCGGTGCGTGCGAGCTAGCTAGTGCTACGCTGGAAGCGAGGCTCGGGCTAGTCCCGAAGCGTAGGCCGACACGGCCAGGCCAGCAGTGCGAGGTTTGGTGAAATAGTGCGCGCTAAGTCGGCGAAGCCCCGTTAGCAGTAACGGGCGAACAACGGCTGCTGCTGTACGCGATGTTGCAGGGTGCACTAAGGACTATCGAGAAAATTCCTTACAGTTTTCCACCTAGCTCCAACGCATACCGCGCACTGGGTCTTGGCACCTTTCATAATACTTCCGTTCATGATACGGCAGTATGTAGTCCGGGTCTTCACAGCCAGTTACCTTCTGATAGATTCCCATAATGACATAATGTGATGGAATTAATGCACACGTATATGAACAGAACATCTACCTTACACGTATGGCAACTTTAACCCCATTTGCACAATCACTTCCCACGCTGCTTGAGAAGTAAAGGGTCCTGCCCTTGTCATTAGCCTTAACTTTGTACGTCCTCACCCCAACAGGGCGGGCAGGCGATATTTGTTTCGTGTTGAAGAAGCTGCAGAGGCCGTGGGTTACTGGGTCGCCAAACTTCTGCACATCATGGGTTTCTCCAAACCATCTGAACACTGCAGGATGGTAGGAAGGAGATGATGGGAAGGAACAGATGTGGGCAGGTGCGGAGAACTTAAATAATTCACAACCTTCGCAGCTGATTTATTACCTTAGCCGTTGTTGAAATACGCTATACAAGCATGAGATATAAGACGCAATTGGAACTCGTGGGTAGCGTACTTTAATGTTAGCAAAGCGTGATGGATCCGACAGTTCTTACCGAGGAGGTCTCCTGGCCTCACAGCAGGCGGTGACCAGTCGCTAACCCCCAATCCCCACGGGCTGACTGCTTGGTTGGTCGACAACCTGCCTCCCACCATGACTGGTCGAGACTGAAAAAGGGATGGGCGATAGCGAGGGACGAAATCAGACAAGACGTGAGTCGTGTGCTTGTGGGTGGCTTTTTAACATTGTGGGAAGTACGTGGCATGGTCAAGACGCAGCGGATTACAGAGCGATAGAAGGACAGTCGTGGGAGAAGAGGCTGAGAGGTGACATGGATGGATACATTTGGTTAACGGTCCAGATCAATGCTGTCAATCGCCAGAACTAGTGGCCCGCTAACGCAGCAATGCAACTAGAACGTATGTAACGCCCGAGTGACCCATTCTCGAAAAAGTGCAACCTTGCGGACTGACGTATTCGCGTCTTGCGGCCTGCCGGTCTGACCGCTGGTTACCAGACGTGGTTACCGGGACGGCCGGAACGACAACTTTCGAGTCGACTTTTGTATGAACTGCAGAAGGTCGAGTTTCACCTGTGCGGGAACAACGCCTTCATGCAGGCAGGGGCGGCGTCGAGCACGAGAAGATCCGCGGTGGGAAGGGGGGGCAGTGGGGAATGCGGACGTGGGAACAGCGGGGGGGGGTGGGGTGGAAAAGGAAACGTTTAGTCGTTACCGCGTTATTTCTTCCCAGACTGAACGTTAGTTCATTAGCACAGGTACGACCTGCGCCAGTCATGCGACGGCATGCAGCCATACACTACAGGAATCGCGACGTTAGGCAGCACACTAGCGGTGTCTTCTGGCCGCTGTAGTTCTAAACACTCTGTGAGTTGGTTCCAGTACGGAAAAACCCAGTGCGAAATGAACGAGATGAAACAAACCAATTCTCGACAGCATACTCATGACGCATGTTTGGAACTCACTTGCACACACGACGGCGAGAAACAACGCAGTGAGAGGTGCGCGCAGGCTCCCGAGGCGCGTCGACCTCATGGTGCTAGCCGTTAGCACTACGCAGAGCCTCGGGATAGGAGTTACTCGAAGGAGTCAGCGCCGTGGTTCGAGGAATTCAGCGGCGCGACCCAGGAAATTCAGCGCAGTAACTTGGTAATATGGTTCCGGTCCAGTGTGTGCTTTGGACAATGATTGTGGACTACTCAGACTAGTCGAGGCGAATTCTGTTGACGTCGAAGTTTAGCTTGATGGGGCCTTAAAGCTTGAGGAGTCGAAAGGAGATGCTTGAAAACCGCTGCGTCAGAGCGATGGACTACGACGTGACCCGGTTGCTAGTAGCGGAATCAGTAGCTTGTGTTTTCGCAGCTAAGTACAAGTAACAGTTGTTAGGAAGTATTTACATGCTTCGGATCGGCTCGACCACACAAGGCTACACTCCAAGGCAATAAGCAGGCGACCAAGGCTGACTCTTTTGCCATGGCGCTTTGCGGGATAGGTTCAATCCCCACCGCCAGCACCAGCGCTGTCGGCTGCAGCTGCTGCCGACAGCCTCGTAGCAGTGGCGCTGCAAGGGTTTCCCGCGGAATGAGAATGTCGGTTCTGTGGAGGCTGTGGGTTCGAGTATGGAAGACGCGCCATCGGCGTAACTCGAGTCATAACAGCGTGTTTGAAAGAAGCAGGCTCCGTGAACTTCACAGAAGCTGCGCGAACATGGTGGGCGGAGTCAGGCGAGGCGGCTGTGTTGGGGTGGGGACATGGGGCCGCGTTGCTGTTCTGGATTGAGTTCCTCATTTGAATTGGAGTGCGAGAGGAGCAGTGTCTCAAAGGTGACATTCGTGCAGTCAATTCGAGAAGTCGAAATTGGTGCAATTGAGGCCAGTAAGATGAACGGCTCCGATTGGATGGTAGGGAAAAAAATCCCTGAGGCGAACCGCGGGAGGCCGGACCGCGAAAAGCTCGGAATGATTTCATGAGAATTCAACGGTAAACACATGCGTACAAGAAGACAACCTTTTCATGCATAAAAAATATTAAGAAGCAAAGTATACACCCGAAGATAAAGAGCCCATAAGTGGGATAAAGGAGTTGTTGCTCATGATGTCCTTAAACAATGGGGTATGTGTTATGAATCAACTTGCAGAGTGCGCAGTAAAACGAATAACGAGAATGGAAATGACTGAATTACTGAATGGAGAAACAATGAAGTAGGGAGGCCTAAATAGGGTGCTGATATTACCAAGAATCCAGTAGATAGGATAGAATCTGTCAAGTCTGAGGGGAGACAATGAAGTCTCTGTAGTGACCTTGTTGAATAATAATTGAAAGAGAACAAGATGATTGAAAGATAGGAGTACAAGAGATTAAATAGAAATCTAGCTAGCCATGTACTCTGAGGGGTACATTCCCTTATTAACTGTATTGCATAGCTACAGTAACCGTGACTATTGCTATCCTCGACAGTTACCATGTTGCAGTGAATTAACTGTCGCGCGGTTACTGGATTGTCAAGGGTCACGACCGTTGACTTCCTCAGACGGTTGACCTTCGGGTGACCCTCGACATTCCGCATGCTCTATATGAGCTATTGCGGTACTGGTACAGTGGAACAGCTTCGGGAATGCTTTATATAACCTTTCGGTTATTCCAACACTCCCCTTCATTCCTGAAGGTGGGCCACGTGGTATTTCTTGGTGATCCCGCAGAGGTCGGCGCAGCGTTGGTATTGCTGACGTGGCAGCTTCTTCGTCAAGAAATCAGCTGCCATGTCACCGGTCGGGCAGTACGTTAGCTTGACTTTCCCTTTGTCGATAGCGAAGGGCGATGTGCTTGGTGCGGTTGACGAAGCCGGGCTTGTTCGCGATCTTTATCGCGCTCTGATTGTCGCAGAGTAACGTGAAGTGCCCGTTCATCGTCACTTTCGCTTCTTGCAGGAGCTCCACTAGGTACAGTCCTTCGCGAACAGCTGCGCTAGCTGCGATGAATTCTGCTTCTGCTGACGAGAGAGCGATAAGTTCCTGCTTCTGAGAGTTCCAGGAGATAAGTCCGGCAGGTTGGAGTTGAAAAATGAATCCTGTGCGGGAGCGTCTGTTGTCAACATCTCCAGCGTGGTCGGCATCTACGTAGCCATGGAGCTGTAGAGTAGCGGTGAGGTTAGCTTCGTAAGTGAGACCGACGTCGGGAGTGGAGATGAAGTACTGTAGTGCTCGGCGTAGATCCAGTAGATTCTCCCCTTCAGGTCGCTTCAGGTACTGTGCGAGCTGGCTTGCGACGTAGGAGAGATCGGGCCGGCACGTGACGGCGGCGAACAGGAGACATCCCAGCTGCTGCTGATAGAGACGATGGTTGTCGGGAGAGAGCGGTGTGGTGTCTGGCTCGTGGTTAGGAGGAGGAGTGCGATAGGGGGTAGTGAGGTTGATTGGTGCGATGGAGAAGCGTTTCGCGAGTGTTTCGGCGTACTTGGCGGCGGAGAGGTGAATGGAGGAGGCGGACTGAGTCACATTGAGGCCGAGGAACTGGGTGACGTTGTGGTTGATTGTCACCTCCAGTTTCTCTTTGATGTCAGCCTCAAACTGGTCCAGCAGCTCCGTGTCGTCGCCGGTGTAGAGAAGGACGTCGACGTAGGCGACGAGGAGTACGAATTTCCCGCGCGATTCCCGCCTGTACATTCCGAGGTCGTGCGGCAGCTGAGTGAAGCCGAGCTCAAGGAGGACGGAATGGAGGTACTGCTGCCATAGACGAGGCGCCTGCTTGATTCCGTAGAGGGATTTTTGGAGGAGGCACACGGCGCCATCATTTTCTTCGAATGCGTGCGGCTGCTCGACGAAAATGATGGCATCGACGGGAGCGTAGAGGAAGGCGCTGCCGACGTCGATTTGCCGGAGCGGTCGCTGTTTAACGGCGGCGATGCAGATGAGAATGCGTACCGAGGTGTGGCGGCCGACTGGAGCGTAGGTGAAAGTGAAATCCACCAGGTGTGTTTGCTCAAATCCCCGCACTACCCAACGCGCCTTGTACTTGTCGACCGAGCCATCTGCGAGAGTTTTGATACGAAAAACCCATTTGCCGCTGAGAATTTTTCTCCCCTTTGCCGATGACCGAGGGACCAACTTCCAGGTGCCACGTTTCTTCAGCGATGCGATTTCGGCGGCCATGGCTGCTTTCCATTTTCCACTGTCGGGGCCAGATAGGGCTTGGCGGACGGTGGTTGGTTCCTTGGACGAGGTGCAGCGAACAGCGACGGCGAGGCCGAGAACGCGGAGACCGGTTTCGTCAGTCTTTTCGTACTGAAGTCGGTCATAGTCGTGGAAGCTGGTAACTTCGACCACGTCGTCATCGCTGTCGTTGCCGAGGCGGAGGGTATCCTGCGACATGTTGGGTTGTGGTAACTCGGCATCAGGTGATCGGCGCGCCTCACTGTTGTAGTCATGAGCCGCGCGAGTTGTATCGTTAGGATCGGGTTGGTGTAGAGGTACGGATATTGTGAAGAATGAGGAATGAATGAACTAGCAAGCAGGTGGGTACAAGTAGGAAAACCTAGAAATGTTGTACCCCATATAGTCTACCCCACTACAGCCTACACAGACTATAGCATATAAGTTTGACACACCCCCATAGGCAAAGTGGGGGAGAACAAGAGGTCACAAGACCAGTCAAGCAAAGCAAAGCAAGCTCAGGGTGGATCACAACGTCACCACACAATCCGAGCACAAGAGCAAGGCCAAAAGGCCAGTTCACATGCAAGATCATATATAAAGGTAAACAGGCAAGTGCAGGTATAGAAAGATCACAGTACAAGCAAGGTCAAGAAGTGAGCAAGTGAGGCCAAGTAGGCACAAGACCTAGCATCGTACAGAAGCGCTGATGATCACAAGGCGGAAGTGCCTTGGTAAAGATATCAGCAGTGTTGGCCTCAGAGGCCACGTAAGCAAGGCGCAGCTGACCACGCTGCTGCAGCTCACGAGCAAGGAAGTAGCGAAGAGCAATGTGCTTCGTTCTGTGCTCCAGTCTGTGCTCCCGACACAAGGCCAGCATGGCCTTGTTGTCTACGTACAGAACTGGAGGAGAACGAGGCGGCTCTCCTAGGTCAGTCAGCAGGTAGGTGAGCCAGCGTAGCTCCTGTGCAGCCATGGCCCCCGCGTA